TGTCATTCTGATCGGATTTTCTCTACTGTTCCGTTTTAATTTTAAATAGTTTTGCATTATGTGGCCGTTTGCTGTTTTATGGGTTTTCCATTTGCCTTTTAAAATTTATATATATATATATATATATAAACAGACATTTGGGAACCAAGCTGTTTACTATTTTTCATGAACACTGACCTTTAAATATCCAAACTATATATTTACAATGTCTCAAACCATTTTAATAAATCTGATCTATATCGAAAATTATAATTTTTTTAAATGCCACAACAATCAAAAATGTGAAATTTTAATAGGACAATGCAAATAAGCTTTTGGCTTGGAGACTTCCATATATTGTACATTGTTACATTAGTGGTTAAATTGTTGTTACAATAGTAGTTAATGAATTTTGTTACAACAGTGGTTAAATCATTGTTACAATAGTGGTTAATGAAATTGTTACAACAGTGGTTGATTTTTGTTACAATAGTGGTTAATGTTACATTAGTGGTTGATTTTTGTTACAATAGTGGTTAATGTTACATTAGTGGTTGATTTTTGTTACAATAGTGGTTAATGTTACATTAGTGGTTGATTGTTACATTAGTGAGTGATACAGGGGCTTCCTCGGTCATAGGGCAGAGTTTGTTCTCAGGCTGATCAATTGCTTGTGTCCTTGAGCACCGAATGCGTTTATTCCTGTTTGTCCCGTCACAACCCGTCAGGTTCTTCAACCTAATGCCAAGGCACTTGCTGTGCCCGACAGTCATCGACCGACACAATTCTATGGAGAACGCAACGCGCAGCGATCACTTGAGGCATGTTGTGGCAAAATGGTTAAGTTGTCGCACAGACCAGTATTGAGTAAAGGAGCTACAAAATATGGTAGCTCAAAAAATTGCCTAAAAATCCAATTTCTTTTTTCACTATAGATCAACAGTTTAATGTCTTATTAATCATGTCCCAAAGTATTAGTTCTGGAAGCGATCAACAAATTGTTTATTTAATGTTATTTAGATAGTTTAATTCTATTAAACAATATATGCACAAATAACTTTGGAAGGCAATTACTCAAAATCATGTTTATCTTGACTCTAAGAGTGTTGTAATTTCACTTTCCAATAACTTAGGCATGAAATGTCCAATTTCAATGAATGACCCCTCATTTTAAAGATCACATACTCAGGATTCTGAAAATACTAATAACTTTAATTTCAATTTTTGCTACAACTTAGCCATTTTGCCACAACCTGCCTCACTTTATTTAACTTCTCCCCCAGAGATGATTATATGTTTTATATCTGTTTGATCAAATTACTAGAGTAATTATGTAAAGCTCATAGAGATTTTTGTTCTTTGATTTTTGTGGGTTACGTCTCACGCTGAAAAAAACACAATCCTATCCATTTTTCATTTTATAAAATCATTATAACTATACCTTTTTTAATTACAGAATTTCAATAAATTCTAGGACATAATTTTAAATAATTTCATCACTCTAATAAAAAGTATCTACTGAAAAGAAGTGCAAGACTAGTAAAAAGTAACGTTCAAGAGAGGGAGAAAAAAAAAACAACTTACGTCATTGCCTGATAGATGGACTCAATTCCGTATCTCATTGCAAATTCGTCAACTATTTCTTGGCCAGGTTCATCAAAATAGACTTTCCAGGCATCGTCACCTTTGGCATCTGGTAACTTTACGTTTCCCCCTTCCTTCTCACTCAGGTGATGGAAGAGATTCTATAAAATTTAATATTGTCAAAACAATTTTGTTTACTTAATCAGTGGCAATAACCAGAAATTGTTTTAAATCCATCAAAATCAGGCACCATTCCAAACTGTCAATTGTTAACAATTCAACTGACCAACCAAAACAGGGCAACTAATATCACTACTACAGCTACAGTACACCTGTATCCACTAATTGCCCAAGAGTGAAATTGAAATTTTAAAATTTGCTTTCAATTTCTTGTTAACAGTATTATATTTTCAAACATGCAAAAGCCAGCTTACTGTTAAATCAAACTCTTATAAAGAAATATCTTTCAAACTACACATAAATAATGGTGCAATCTGTTAGCCTATTATACAATTACAGGAGTGGTAACTAGCAGAGACCAAACAGATCACTTGTTTGGAAAAAACTCGATGTCACAGCAACACAAAAACGTTATCAATGTGAGAATTGGTCAGACCAGTGTCGAGTGTAAAATAATGAGAACTAAGGAATTTCTAACAAATTGCAGTCCTTGATTATGGATTGATAACAATCATAAATAAGCATTTAGTAGAGCTCTGCATAGTACACTATAGGAAAATAATTATACGAAGGTTAGATTTAATGCTCGAAAAAATTTCCTGAGGGCCTGCAAGGCCGGAAAGAAATTTTTGAATGCATTAAATCTAACCTTAGTATAATAATTTTCCATTTAGTGTACGATGCACGCACTAATAATTGCTTAATAAGTCAATCGTCATCTTTTAATTTTAGTTTTTTTTATAACCAACTGTTGTAGCATTCATCGGTTGCTATAGTGATATGATCAGTGTACGTATGCGTATTTTCATTTAGCTGTGTGTATGCTGATTTTTGCTCCTGCAGTACGCATTTAATTTAACTACACATCAGCAGTACAGAACGGATACGATGAATTACTATTGTGTTAAAAAGAACTTGTTTGTAATGCTATTTTGTTAGACTTTCGTCACAGAAATAATAACTTGCTTGTAATGCTATTTTGATAGACTTTCATCACAGAAATAAACCTGAGCATTTAAGAGAGAATATAGTCACTGACGTCCTTTTTGGTCGGTGCATGCAGACAGGTAAAATCTTGCGATTATTTCATAACTAGGCTAGGCTACGGCCTAGTAGTAGTAGGAGGAGGCCCGGCGGCCTCCTGCCTGGCCGTAGGCCTACATCTAAATTTGTTCCTTGAGTCTTCCAGAATATGTCTATTAAACGTTCAGTTTGTTGTGTTTATGAGGGTCCATTGATTCAATGAATTCCTTAATTGTTCATACTTAATATTGAATTTGAAATAACTTTCTTCGGGTTCTAATTAAGCTTGTTTTACGAAAATAATTTTGAATTACAATTCAATTTTTATCTCGGTAGGATATCATCGGTATCTTGATGTATTCGTGGTGACGAAAAAATGAGGATTTTTTTTGCACACAAACCTAAAAAAAAATCAAGCCAAGCGTCCACTAATAGAAAAATTAGTGGACGCTGAGGGAATAGGTAAATAACATTGACAGTCACGATTGACTTATAATACAATTTATAATGAGATAATGAAGGTGATTATTTCTGCATATTAACAACACATTCTAGTTATTTAAAATCTAACTATTGGACTGTTAGGCCAAATAAAATTAATAGTTTGTATGAAATTATTTTTGGTGAGGGTATTTACTATTTGCTTTTTACTATCCTATATACTAATGGTAAACAGACTGGTAAATAGTTTTTTTTTTTAAGAAGTAAAATGAATCTTTGTAATGTATTTCTGCCATTTATGTTCCCACCTCTTCTTAGGCTAGACATAATTCTTTCATTATTTTTATTGTCGATGGAAAAATGAATGTTTTTTTTAAATAGCACATAGTAAATTTTTTCATGAGGCTCCAAAATTTGATGAGGGCTGGGACGTAAAACTGGCAACTAATTTTATTTGGCCTTAAGTTAATGTTTTCTGATTACAAAGATACTGCCTGTAGATAATAACCTTGTGAACAATTATAGATCTGTTTTTTTTTGTTTTTACTGCAATTTCTAACAGGAGAATACCAAACATATATATTATTACATTCTTTGGCTAGACCCTAGTAATCAAAAGATCTAACTTTTGTTATTTTCATTTATGCCTCCTTAAAAACTGATGCTTAATAGGTATGTAAATATTACATCCGCCAGAATCTCACAAATATTTCTGCCAATATTAACATAATTGATCATTGAGGAATTTAATGTTTTTATTTCATTTTTATATTTTTCCCTGATTTTTCACATCATATTTAAAATAAAAAATTCTCAAAACAAGACTTTTTATTTATGTAACTGAATTGCTTACCTCATGGAGACATGTATATTGGTCATGGTATGGGGCCAATGATTTCTCCTCCCCCTTGATCTCGACACTGATTTGCAGTCTAATAGCACCAGAAACTGCAGACTTATCTGTCCGTTTTTCTACGAAATAGATATAATAATAATAATCATACCTATAATACCAACAATGACAATGAAAATAATACTACAGTAGTATAAATATTAACAAAAATAATAATGATAATTTTATTCTATACAATCACTGAGATTCCAATGGTTGGGATTTTTTTTAGTGTAAACACCAATGATAGCCCACGAAAATCTAGAAGAAGACTGATTTCCAGTGGGGTAGTTCTGGTGGTGATTGGGCAATACACCGGTAGACATTCTCCTATTCTTTTCCGAAGAGTATACTGCGTTCTTTAACGTGCACATGAGCCATAAAAGCACACAGGACCAACAGCTTAAACGTGTCATCCAAAAGACGGTGTGCTATTATAACTTGTATTTCAGCCCCCAGCTGAAACACAAGGAGAGGCAGCGATGGGAATTGAACCGGGGACCTAGAGATGTCCACGGTTCAGTGCACACACAGTGGCTACCACCAGATTAGCTGACTGAGCTATAAGCTACTCTCTGGTTGATTGATTGACCGACTGAAAAACTGGCTACTCTCTGGTTGATTGATTGACCGACTGAAAAAAGTAATTGATTGACCGACTAAATGACAGATTGATTGACTAAATTGATTGTTGGGTAGACTGATTGATCATGTGGCTTTAAAATTATAACAAACATTAACATAAATAAATAGACAAAAAATAAAAAGTATATAAAATAATCAAACAAATAATAAAAAATAAACTGATTGTTTTTGGAAAAAATTTAAAAACTTACCAAGATTGTACCATACATCCATGTCACCACTCAAAGTTCGAACTTCAATTATTGTCTGACCCAAAAAATCATCCGACTCCCTAGTGAGTTTCTGCATCAACTTGGATTTAAGGTCATCGTCTTCATCCCTTCAAAAATCAATATTTACATACTCATATCAAAGTTTTAATTATGCAATTGGAAGTTCACCAATTAACTCACATAGTGATGCTGAGGCAATGTGATTTGAAAGACAGGTTACCGTAAACATGGTCTTGCATATCTACAACACATGCTACAAGAATATATAAGAGTTGAAACATATTGTGTCTTTCACAAATGCATGTATATAATAGTTATGTATTAGTTTAATGGTAATAATGAAATACTGCAGATTGATTTTGTTACTTTGTGTCTTATTCTTTTTCAATTTGTATCTTTAATATGTATTGTTGACATATTAATTGGACATCAAAATAATTTGATGTTATCAGTGTGTAATATTAATTCTAGATTCTAGATAGTGTGAAATCATTATCATGCTTGTTTATAGTCAATGTTTTAATTAATAACTTTGATCTGTTGTAGTAGAGTGAATCATGCTTAGTTTGTGTTTGGTGATAAGTTTTGTTATGATTTTTTTACATGTTTAGGAGAGTGGTTGAGCACTTTGAAAAGAAAAGCTAATAGTAAAAGGTACAAGCATGAATTCATGTTAGATGATGCATAGACATAAAAAAAATCATTCATTTCATTTGTTCATACATTTATTACAGTATAAAAAAGACTTCTATATCCCTCACATATATACCAGCATTTACACCATACCCTCCATTCCCTTGTTTATTATTACCTTTCAGGAGAAAGGAGAAACAAGTTTCTATACCAAAAGGTTTTGTTGGCCCAGTTGTTGATTTTGGTTGTGAGAAAAATTCTCTAGGAGTGAGTGAAGCAATGATGCTGAGATTGGTAGCGGATCACTGTAAATGTTGTACTACATTTCTATTTATAAGATTAAATGCAGGTATATTGAATGATTGCAGTTTTAATGATTGACATTATTAAAGACGGAGCCAGACAGTCTAAAAGATGCAGTTTAATATGCAAAAATGTAGTATTCTTTGATAGTTATTGACTTTATGATCAGGACTTTTATAACACCTTTCTTCACAAAGCTGTCAGGTGTCTATAATGTTGATTAAATTTTTAAGGAAGTATTCTTGGCCTTTCAATGTATCCACAAAAAAAATGTAAATTCTAGATATTAAAAACCAATTTGTTCATGTTTTTTTTAAATCCTGCTCGCGGCCATCATTTACTTCAGTTTATCATAATTAATGTTCTCATTGGTATCGAAGAGCCACTGGGCATTGATTCACTTCACTCTTGGCAATTCTGTCAAGCAAATCCAGTTTTTTTGTCAGTTTTATTTTTATTTTGACCAAATAAATGAAATAAATTAAAATCATGAAATCTTTAGTTTCAACAATTAAATAAATAAAAGGCATTTATAAAGCTGATTACTGAATTGTTTACATTGTAATATTGTATATAACCACACATATCGAGAGACAGCTGAAGTGAACACTCTAGTAAAAGATGTACCTCACACAGTCAAATAGGTTTTAAAAACCCCAAGTCCTTCCTTTATCAAGATTGTATTTTATGTATGTCATACAGGCTATGGGAATATTATCATATTATATCATTTGGTTTTGATTCTAAAAGATTTCTGAAACCAAGTTATATTTTATCCTCATTTTGGTAACATATTCATTCAACCGTACAATTCATTAGCTCTTGTGACTTCATCTCCCGTCGATCGAAAGCATCAGACAAGGGAACAGACTGCAGCTGATGAAACTGTTCTGATGATTTGTTCTCAATAAAGTTCTCTATAGTATCCATCCAAACCTTTCAAAATTATTTTTTTCTTTATTACCACTAAAATTCTGTAACTCCTATGCCCAGATGTACTTGGAATAAGTGATAATGATTCTTCCCGCCCCAATTATCCATTATAGATTTTTGGCATTTTCAAAAATGCTCAGACATGCTAAAGATTATTTATCACATTGACAAGAATTAATATTTACATACAGCATATTTTTAGGTATTAATATGAATGAGGAGCAGTGATTGATGATAGGAATGGCCTCAATAATATTTTCAAAAGAGTTTGAATGCAAGTAGAGATAAAACTGCCTATTAATTTGTTCTCACATGTTTGTCAGTTGCACAATTCATCAAATAAGCACATTTCTTAACCTACATACATATATTGTAGCCTGAGTGATATTGGAAAAATATTGCTATTTTTAGTGAGTGTTATTTAAAGGTATATTATTGTCAGCACAGCTATAATTTGTTTTATCTGTTGGAATCCACCTTTTTGCATCTGATTAATCACATGATCTGTATGCAGTACTCACTTTGTTACCGTTATGAATGCTCGAGTTAATACACTGTAAAGATAGCTCGGCAGCTGTTTTTACTGAATGTGTCTGTTGAAACAACACCATAATTGCTGTTTCTATATTTTTTAACATGAAATTTACTTTACCAAATCACTAACAAATGTTTCAATATTACGTTAGAAATGTTACAACATTGGACATCAAAGAGCATGAATGAAAGATATCGATGGTAAAGCTTGGACATAATATTAAGAGAAATGATCACAGACGCACAGTGGGAAGGTTAGTATACGGCCTTCTGCAGCTGCTACTGTGCAAACAAACCTGGGCCTAGAAATTGTTCTTAAAACTCATTGCAGTCATACTCATAGCCAGAAGAAACGTCTAGCACCACATACAACATTTCTGAATGTTACACCAGAAAATTACATTTCAAAAATGTAATTAATAACCTACACTAACTGAAGTGATTTGATTGTGTGTAGTGGTGGTGTATGCCTAGCCTGCCAGAGGGTATGTCCTGAGACATTCATTAGTCTTGGTGATCAAAATAAATGATTCCATTTAATTACAGTATTTATGCTAGTCATTACCAAAAATATAGTTATAGTCATAAGAATACTTCATTCGTGGTTCATAATTGTAGGATTGTGCAGAACTAATACAAACCCGGCCTAGCATTGCACAAGGTACGATTTCAAGCTTAAAGTCACAGCTTAAAATAAACTTTTTTTTAATGTGCAGCCATAAAATATTACATAAAAGTCAGCAAGATAGTACACATTAACCTTTGAATTAGTTTTTTTATAAATGATATTCTCAAATAAATTACATAGCAAGCAAAGTCTACCATGATTTACAGTACAGCTTTGCTATTCGGTAACCAATGTTTTGAATTAATATTGCATACAGATGACGTCACTACCGCAAAGTAACCAAGCGCAAAAGGTGGACTGGTGAATTTCTGGAGCCCCACTGCCAGTATATCTTGGAAGTAACATTGGATGTGTGGACAGGGGCTTGCCTTCCAATCCCAGGGTCCTGGGTTCAATTCCTGTCAGTGTTGCAGGATTTTTTTCTCACGATCAAAACAACTCCACTCCCTAAATCTCATATTGAGATTTAGTTTGTGTAAAGCATCATGTCTGTTGATTGTTGATGGCAGACGAAGCGGACTGTCAAAACACATCCGTTATGCGTGACTCATCACACTGACTTTTCCATGGAATCGCATTGGCTGATGAACGTCAGCGCAATGTGTGCAAAAAAAGCGTGGTATTAAACAGGACATGAACACAAGACTCTAGGATTAACTGGCAACCTTTAGCTTGAAATTCATGCTGTTCATTTTGCTGTGTCTGAATGCAAGGCACATCACCTGTATTTGCCTTTGTCCACCGAGGAGCATCAATTGATTTCTGGAATGATTTGGGTGATTTGAATAGCAATTTAGTCTGGTGTTAAGTATATCTGCACAACCAGTAAAACTTCACACATTAGGTGTATCTTCCAATTTAAAAAACTGGTCAAATCTCTTATCTTCAAATCTCTACAAAGTGGACAGCTAATTGCTTATATCCCCTGATAGCCTCTGGTCATTATTTTCAGGTGTAAAATCAGTCTTCTTCCAAGTAGTTTTAAGCTCATAGCCTATGATGGCAGTAGTATATATGGTACATGGTGATTTATGTTATTAATATCATAGAGTATATCAAGTACTATACAAAATTGTGAATGAATTACAGCATTTACTATTCATTAATACTACTTTATGGTGAGCTCCATTTAAAATCACTCTAAATTTTGATTCTGTAGCCAATTAGGTAACCACAATACATACACATAGTTTTCATTATCATGTGCTACATATAAATCTAAACAATGAAACAAATATGAACAATTTAAAAAAAAAAAAAATGCTTACCAAACCCTAACTTTAATTCTGTCGGATGAGTTGTGACATTCAAAGTAGAATTTTTCATTCCATTCTGGGTTCAAATTCTGCTGTACGGTATGCGTTCGTTTCTTCACCTTTCCTACTTGAACCGTAACATAAGGATCACTAGTTCCTGTTTTGTCCTTGGCTATCAAGCCTTGGGCACTTGCTACAGTTATGGCTAATTTTGCTGACCATTTTGATGTTCCGTCCAATACGCTTTGCTTGACCACTTGCATGTGTCCAGAATGTGACTGCTTAGGAATATTGAAAACTTCCCTGTGTAGAAAAATGAACAAAATAAAGCTCACCGTATTTTACATATAAAATCACAAACTGTATTTATTTGTTTAAATGCCTCACTTAAACTCAATAAACTCAGCCTCTAGAACAATATTTGAAATAAACGCCTCCTTCAAAAACCGCCCCCAAATGACTGTCAAAACAACTAACAGAGGCAACACCATCTTCAACACCATTTTATCAATTTATTGCTAACCTCGGATCTACACTATCACAATTGTACAGTAACACTTTTGACACTTATTTCATTTCCTGTTGAATGAAGACACTTTATTTGAGAACACATAAACATTTTACAACTAAACAAATAAACGCCTCCCTTGAATAACTTACTCCTCTGAACAACAAACGCTCTAGGCATTTACTTGAGAGAGGCAATAATTTGTTTATTTATTTGAGCATCTACACATTCATTTTACACCTAAACAAATAAATGCATCCCCCTGAATAAACTCCTCCACAAAAACCATCTGAACATTATATGCTCTGGGGCATTTTTCAAATAAATATGGTAATTAGAAGGAAAAAATATAGTGATGCTAACTGTGTGAAATTTGGTATAACTAAATACAGGCACTAATGGAACAGCAGTAAAGGGCTGGGCTTCTATTTGAAAAGTTAAAGGTTCATGCCTACGGCTACTGTCCACATGTTTGTATTTCTATACTAGGTACTTCATCTGTGTTGTTGCACTTTGTCACCCAGCACTTTGAATACCTCAACCATAGGTTCAGTTTCATATGCCAATGCGCTAATTGCAAGCTACAACATCATAGAGTACTCCCCCATGGGAATTGAGAATGTGTTCAATAGGTGTTTGATTCAACGACAATGGTAATAATGTGAAATGCATTTAGAAACATATGTGCTATATACGATCGACATATAATCATTATTGTAGCTAATAAAGAAGCTTTGATGGAATGCAATCTAGCTTATTGGTAAGGGAAGGTCTCTCCACTGTGAGGGAATACCTATTATGCACAACAAACTCAATTTAAAAGAGGAAGGCATAATATAGCATTTTCTTTCTGACAGCTTAGCCCACACTATCAAATTTCCTAACAAAAAAAACCTGTTGTATGCCCATATATAGTCATGATGTGCCTATATATGGTCATGATGTGATGTCATCATGACCATATATAGGCATGTCACATGCTTTGTGAACAGAGCCTTACACACACATTTACAAGGTATTTCTTATGTTGATACTTAGCATTACAACTTTCATCCATAATTTAAAAACAAAAGAAGCTTTCTGTTCTTTAATTTTTTGTCGAGAATTTTGTCAGATTTAGGTGAATCATGAACAACTGATGAATTTAAGAGTATTTAGAAAAACAAAGTAGCAGTAGCATTCATTACTCTTAGTAGAGCGAGCAGCTCTACCAAGTGATAGATACGTGCATCTAATAAGATGACATTATTATTATTATTATTATTATTAAATTCCTCATACAAATAAAGAATATATTTATGCAGGTCCAAATTTGGAAGAAGCCTCTCCACAGGGTTGTGGTTTAATTACCTTTAACAAATCTTATATTTTCTGCTAGCTGAGTTCAGCAGTGGCGTATCTAGTGGGTGTTAATTACTCGTTCCCCCTCCCCAGTCGTGCCTTCCCCCCAGTATGCATATTATATATATTTTTAATGTTTATGTTACTAACATTTATTATACACCGAATGCAATTTCTTATTGTTTTAACCAACTAGGATGTGAACAGGATATTGATAATTATGTACGTATTCTTTGCTTAAAGTTACAGAATTTGTTACCATATATTGTAACAAAAAGCAGAATTAGAAATTACCAAAAACATTATAACAACTTGCTTAATTACCAGTACTCAGATATTATATCTTTTGGCTTGTGAGCCCAACTCAAAATAAATGTTTATTTATTATTTATTTATTTATTTATTTATTTAGGCACACAATACATGTGCCAAGGATTGTCAACAGCGAATATATCACTAACCTACTTGTAGGTGACAATCCCTTTAAACAAATTAATTAAGAATCAGGGGTGTAGGAGTACAACAGGAGGGGTAGAAAGAGTGTCGAATGTTAGGAAATGTTCACCACCGCAGCCTATTCATTTTGTGTTTGAGTACTGAATGTTTATGAAAGTTCGGGTGCTCAAATTATACATACATTGAATCTTGAATTGTATGTGGCTTTATTAAAAATATTTTTGTTTATGTACCTGATATTGTCAATAAACACTCCCTAGAAACAGCTTAAATCAGAACGCCCATGAGCTATTGCCCACAGAACCCCCACCGGGGCCCCGACCCTAGACCCCGACGGGGGCTCTGCTGGCCGCCGGCCTGCGTTTCAAATCACGCATTTCAATTATTTCAGGTTGGTAACTATGTAAATTTGAGGAAGATGGGCTGGTTTCAGGAAGTGTGATTGGCTGTTCCAATTTTCCAGGAAGATGCAAATCAACATGAAAGCATGATTTACGAGTACCAATTGGCCATCCAGATGTGGTGCCATCAATTTAAAATCATTGCTTTGGCTTACATTTACAGAAATTACGCATTAACTTTACTTGGCCTCATTAAACATTGATTGATGAACCTTGCCCTAAATAATGTAACATTTTAATAACACACAGACACGAAGCATTAAACACTTAATCTTGTATGCATTGTCAATTCACTAAAATAAAAATACAGTACAAAATGGTTCATCTGCAATGCCATGGTTAATTTTACTTGCAATGTTTCAAAGGCATAATACTTATTTTATATATTTTTTAATACTGAGAATATTCAAAAATTAATGGATAAAAATAAAAAATGATGTTCAATGAGAGTGTCATTTCCAGCCATCTAGAGGTCACATAATCATATACCATGGTGGAGCTGAGGTGGTCTAGACTTCTGTGAAAGTCAGATCCCTGGGCCCCCTCTCATCCCTTGAACTGCCACTGAATCTTTCAAAATATTGTAACTCTCACACAGATGATACTCAACTTCAAAATTACTATACAGAAATATGCATAATTAACGAAATACAGTACATTTTTCATACATTAAAATGCTACATTTTATATATTATTTAATTGCTTTATAGACAGAATATATTTAAAATCAACAGTAACAACAATAACAAAAATTTCATATAAGTGGTAATAAAAAAATAAAAAATGATTATTAAACGATATTAATAAAAATAATAAATATATACCGGTACAAATAATTACCAGTAAATATGGTTATAAAAATTATTAGTCATATATATATGTAACACGTATTGTAACTAACCTTATCAAATCGAATATTTCAGGCTTATTGCGTTCTCTGATTTTCATTCGGTCTTGCATTGCAGCTATAATGTTCATAGTCTTATCTTCGGCTCCATGTTTTGAGCTTTTCTCCGCGGCTCCTGTTTTAAAAACCGTGATTATAATGATTACGATAACATGATCGGTGGGACAAGGATAATATAAGTACAGAATCATAAGTTTAATACATATTCATCTACACTTTTCTAGAAGGTGGATGTAAAAACATATGTAAAGGAAAATTCTCAAAATCGAAAAAGAATTCTCAAATTGATATAAACTATAATTAATATCATTCCATGCATCAAAAATAAAAAAAATAATAATCAATGGTTAATTTTAGCTAATTTCTAGTGCAATAAAGTAATATCATATCACATCATTACCTCTTTAGAGAAGAAAGAATACTAAAATATATACCTGCACCTCAAATAAACCAAGGATTGCCAACATAGTCCTAATGATTAATTTACCATGTACTACTAGAGAAAAAAAGTACCTCAAAGAACTGAATAAGGACTTGAATTAACTACAACCAAAACTGAAAAATCACCTTACTACCGATTAGAATTGAACGTCAACATTAACATAACATGACTGTGGACTATGTAAGCCATACTCCTACTTAATCATGTAGGTGTAAAATGTCTCATTGTTATACAAATGTTATGCTTTCTACTAAAAAAATAAAAGTGTATTTGGATGTGGCAATGTAAGCAGAACATTACATGTAGGCCTATTCAAGAAAATCATCTTGATTCAATATCAAATATTTGAATTAAACTGGTTCTCCTTCGGCTTATCCAATCAATATTAAAAATAATAAGCAACAACATTGTGTAATATTTTTAGTTTTATTGATTAGCTTAAATAGATTAATGTAAGTTTTGAGTTCAAATGTGCCATTGCATATTTTATATCCTCGCTACAAGTTAACATAATAAATAAGTAGAGTATACAACATTGAAGCTTTAAGGAATATAATTCAAGCCATCGTAAGTCTAAAAGCTGAGTTATATATGTAAAAACTTATTACGCATACGTCTATACAGGAATGGAACGAAGAAAAAAAAAATAGGAGGGGGCTGGTGGAGGTTTTCTAGTTTTTAAATTGGAAATAGAAAAAGGCAACCCTGATCTCTCATTTTCTGCACCCCTACCCCATGATCTATCAATCAAAGAACAATAAAAATGATTTACAGTGGCGTCACGAAGTTTGTGGGGCCGTGGTACAGACTGTTTAATATTTGGGGTACTCATACATGCCAAGTTCGACAAATTTGCAGGCATGAGACTTTTGTTCTAAAAACCCCTATTTTTCCCTAGATACCAGGAAATACATTGTTTGCTACTTTAGGGTATTTTTTTTTTTTTTAAACTGAAAATCTTTTAGGAATCGAAATTTTTTCATGAGAATGCATATTTCTGCCGTCCATGATCGAACCCACTGACATGAGCCGCGTGCATGGTATCAGTGTGTTCTTGATTCTAATTTGATCTGCTCTGTTTAAAAAACTAGTAACAGAAATATTTATTTTTTTACTGACAATTATAATAATTTATCAACTACAGTATACATGCGATACCATATAAAATTAAATGTAAAATTATATGATAATAATGTAAAAAATTAATATCTAAACATTTTAAGTTCGAGCCAAGCTTTTTGTTAAAGATCCATGCTGTCAATTTTTTTAACTGCAATGTCGGGGCCTCTCGTACCTGGAGGCCCTGGCGCTCCGTCTCCCCGTCAGCACCCGAGTGTGACGCCGCTGGTGATTTACAGTGCATTTTACCTATGAATGCTCAGTGTTGAAAAAAGAGAAAGTGAATAAAAAGGGGAAGCATGTGTCCTGGACTCCCAGCGTGTAAGGAGATGAGCCCACTTGAGAGGCTGTGGGTTTGAGACCAACACTCATTGAATTTCTTGTAATAAAGATACTCATTCATGTTTGCCTCTCTTTACCCAAGGATATTAATGTGTACCTGATGTGACGCAAATAATTTCGAATGAAACTGGAAGTGCTGTGTATGCATATCCAGGAATATTCCACAGCAATTGAGAAGGTTGCATGTTGTGCATGGTTGTTTCTGTATAAAGATCATGGCAAAAAATGTGCTTCGTACTTTAAAATAATGGTACTCCATAAACAAAAAATGGTGTGATTTAGCCAAAAACTGAAAAAATGTAGTATCACTAGTTTCCGTAAATAAGAATATTCAATAGCAGCAGTTTGAAGAAGCCAGTGTGAATTTAGATGTAGATGGATGTATACTATACAATAAATACAGTACTAAGTACAGTATGTAGGCCTAAAAAATTGTTGATCATATCCTATTATTATTAATACATGTATTTGTATAAAAACAAACAAAATCATATTGATAAAAACAAAAGATTAATATGAACGGTGCTTCACCTGCCATCACCAGGTTAATGTAAATTCAGCAAAATAAGACAACATAAAATAAAGAAAAAGCATGCAGGCCAAAACAGTGGGAAAGGAATTAAGGGAAGAAGTAACTGAAGGAAAAGGAGGAAACAATGCAAAATATTAAATGTGGGGATAAAATTCCAAAACCCAAAGAAAGCCCAACTAAGTAATGACACCACATAATAAAGTAATAATATAAATGTGCTAAAAAACTAAACTTTCATGTTTAATTATAATTACGGTATTTAAATTATACAATTAAACATGTTTAAAAGTGCTGACAGAATTTTATTGCAGTTAAATTTTCAAGTGAATTAATCTTTAAAACATTTTATGTATAAAAACCTGTTCAAAAAGCTTAAACCATCGTCTCTCATTATCGACAAAATGAATGTATCATTCAATAAGTGAAACACGGTAAAAATCATTAACTATTATAGCCATCGTGGCCAATGGCCTCGGAATGAAAAACAACCTAAATAAAACATGATATTCAGCACATGAACAAGCATGTTATACAGCTGGAAATAGGATGATTTTGTCCTGGGGAGGAGGTGCGAAAATATGTGAATGTGGAACTAAACCCCTATTCCAATGAAAACTTTAGTTAATTTTTAATATCTAACCCACTATAGTGGAACTAACTTGCTGCCATTGGTTGGGGGGGGGGGGGGGGGGGAAGACTACACTCATGTTATACAACTTAGATTATTATCTGTATTGAGCTACCTAATAATCTTGAATATTTAAATAAACATTAAAAACTAATACAGTACAAATAAATATTAAATAAACTTTGAAAAACAAGATTCAACACTTATTATCTTATCTTTATTTATCTCTTATTTTAAATAACTTATCCTTCTGAATGAGTAATGCAATGGTTTAATTTAATTTCTGTACTCCCACCCCAATTTGTAACACAGAATAATAATGAGCAATTGGCTACACTAGAGGACAACAGCACTATGCAATAAACAGAAGGTATATATACCATATTTATTTGAATACACGCCTCCCTTGAATAAACATCACCCTTGGAGCCTCATTTAGAATAATAATAAACGCCTCAAGGCATTAATACAAATAAATACGGTACCTGTAATTGTGCTGCCTTACTGTTTAATTTATGAAATTATTTATATTTCACATCCAAAAACAAGCAAATTGAAGAAAAAAATGAAGCTATATAAATTCAATAGGACAATAAAATATAATAAAAGAATACTAATAAAAAGATAATCTATATAAAACCATTTGAAAACAATGATTTTACAGATTATTGTAAATAAAATTGTAAAATGAAAGGAAAAAATGTGCCAAACTATAATAACCTACAAAAAAAAAATTGAAAGATATCAATCTCTAAAAATTACATCAAATAAAATGTAAAAAAAAAAAATGAAAGAAATAGAGATCATTTTCTTGGAAGAAAAAATTTGGGAGGGATTTTTCACAAGAGTGTGTTTTACCCTGCTCGCCAAGGCTTGATCTAGAATGGCTTCTCTGTCTACATGATGGACTTGAAAAATCACGTAGACCAACTATGAAGGACCATAATGATGCTGTCCATGACATTGACTCCTCACCTAGGCGGGGTTTGTTCAAATAAAATGAAAATTTAACAATGTCAAATTGTCTTGGAAACATACATGATATTCCAATGAAAAATAAGCATCTAAACCATAATGAAAATAATGTTCTAAATTTTATAAACTCATCCATGAATTTTAAATGAAGAAATTAAATCAAACTTATGATTTTTAACCACACTAAAATTTAAAAAAAATATAGTAATAATATAAATCCTTCCTGTCACACAAACACGTTTCATTACAAAAAATTTTGATAAATTGTCAGATGGAAACATAAAATTCAAAATTTGAATCAATCATTTTTTTAGCTTTTGGAAAGTAACAATTTCCCATCAAGGAATTGATAAAACAAAACTGACTAATGAATTTAACCCCATTTAGTTTTTTTCTGATGTTAGTGAGTGCCATTTTTCTCCACAACTGTGTTTCACTCACGATGATTTTAAATGCAGTCAAATTTTTGTCCAGAGCTTGATGAGAATAAAAGATTAAAGATTATATTTTCCTTTTTTTTTGTCAAATTCCAAATATTTGAAACTAATGTTACTTTAATTCTAAAAATTTATTTTCATAAGTGTTTGTTGTTTTAAAATTGTTCAATATATTTTCCGTGATGAGTTTTGTGATCCTACAAATCTGTGTAATTCAATTTTAATTATTTTTGGATTTTCACTTAGAATTTCTTATCAATTTTAATTTTTAAAAGAAATTTATTTAAATAGTTTAATTGTTAAATTTAATTGTTGAATTTGAGAAAGACTGAAAAATCTAACCTACTCCATTAAAAATATGTTGGTATTTATTTCAGTTTTAAACACTAACATAAACAATTGTTCACCCCAACATACATCAACTTTTAGAATAAAAAAAAAAAAAAACATTTTTAATTACATTTTGAACTGCTTTCCATAACTTTTTATTTGTCTACCGACGATTCAATTTTATTAATGAACCAAATATGTTTAAAATACCTAAACTAAACAAATGTTATTCATAAATGATGAAAGGTTTGAAAGAGAGTGGTGTGGTGTTAAAATTAAGGATGATAATGATACCTAAAAACGCATGCAATTTTTCCACTATACCTTAAAATCCCAAAAATCTAAAAAATAACTTATTATTTTACCAGTATCTTTATCACTTTCTAGATCGAAACTTTCACTTGTCTCGTTAGGAAAGAAAAAGTTCCGGATCCTTTGGCAAAGCTGAGTGAATATTTCTGGGACTGTCATCTCTCCACCTTTTGAATGATGATGTGTACAAAAAATGAGTTCCAATGATAATGATAAAAATAATAATAATAATAAAAAAACAATATCATCAAACACTAACGATAATTATATAGTTATATAAAATAATAATTGTGGCTCTTTTAATACATATATCCACTCTTGGATGGGTGCTTATAATGTGTAGTACTGCATAGCAAAAAAAAACAAGTCTTTAAACTGTAGTGATAGCTGACATATTAAGAATTCACCAACAGAATTACATTCAATGCATACAAATTGAGCTATCATTATCGATGTGCGTATTTGAATAGAACCATTGTTGTCTACAAATATTATTTTCCAACATCTTCATTATGTTTTATCTTCAGCAGCAGTCAAAACTCCCACACAACACTCTCACATTCAAGAAGGAATCAAATGTAAATAAACAAATTTAAAAACAAATATAGTGTAAAATAAATTAACTTTAAGATGACGAAAGTAATTGTAGATTGCAGATATAAAAATAAAACCAAATAAAGTGTAAACTAATTAAGTTTAAGATGAAGAAAGTTGTAGATTGCAGATACAATCTTTGAGTTTTTTTCTCTCTAAGTTAATATACAGCAGAGTAAATATTTTAGGAAGCAATGGAGTCAATGATGACACAAAATAGATCGTTGAAGGGCAAGCACACATTTCTGAAGAATATAAGTCAATGTCTGCGCATACGATTACTACTAAAATGCTGGAGTCATGCAACTAAAGAATACCAGAAAAAAATTGCTTGAATAGGATAACAAGATAGAATGGTACATAAACAACATTTAGAATAAAGAAAAAAACCAAATTGATAACTACTTACACAAATATTATGCATTTAAAATTAAATTGTGATTTACAATTTGATTACACTGAGAAACTGTACGTTTGCCAATGAAGACAATCTCAAAACTTAAGAAAAAATTTTTATTTAAAAATGAATTAATCCAAAATGATGGTGATCAAAGATATGATAATGATGATGGTGGTGGTGGTAACAATGATGTAGATGACATAATGATAAAAACAGGAATCACATATGTCGTTCTTGTAGATGATGATGACGATAATGATGATGATAGTGGTGGTAGTGGTTAGTTTCAATAGAATAGGATGATGATATGATTATTTTGAATGATGATGATAATAATAATAATGATGATGATAATGATGATGACATGAAGAACAAAAATGGGCATTCTGATGACATGAAAGACATGATGATGATGTAATTATGATGACAAGACATGATGATGATGATGATAATGACATATTATTTGCATGATGATGGTAACGAGAATATGATGACAACATTGTAATGGTGACAAGAATGACATGATGTTGACAAGAATGACATGATAATGATGACAAGATGATGATGATGATGAAACAATGAAGACATGATGACAATAGGAATGAAATGAAGATTATGATTATGATGATAATTATGACAACAGTGTTGACAAGATAATATTGTTGATGAACACAGCACATGGACCATACGATGTTGATAATGGTCAATGTCTACACACTTTTATGGTGATGATGATGATGATGTTATTGATGCTAATTATAAGGATGCAACAAGGATGAAATGATGATAGTGTTTATGATTAATTGCTGATGAAAATCAAACACCATAATATTTACAAGCATTTGATTATTGGGGTAGATATAATAGATAAAACCAACCAAAAATAATTAACAATACGAATACACTTTTATGGATTTCTAACACAAACATAAAGCATCAGTTTTAACCAAAAAATTTGTCTGTGTTGAGCCAAAAAATTAAAAAAAATATAATAAAAATGGAATTGCTTTCTTAGCTTTTTATAAGGAAAATTAGAAAATTATGTAAAAGATGATATAAGAAATCTGGCATCATAACAACAGTTCTATTTATATCATATTATTGAATGTTTAATATATGTATAAAACACACAATAGTGATTTATAATAACACATTAGAAATATTAGAATTTTATATTAAAAAATATTCCTATGAAAATGGTTAAAATATTATACATTATAACAGTTGAATATATACATTCTGGATTGAGCTGAAATTGAATATTTGAGTTATAAGACTTTTATTTTTTTTAAATAAACAAGAAGATATTCCACACCAACTACCAGCTCTATGAATTAGACTTGAAAATTAGACGGTGCAATAGAACAATTCGGCGACCAGGAACTAGTGGTAGTCGTTTGTTGGGATAACACACAGTGTAATCAGTGTAAAAATATATAAAAATGAAATGTGCAATTTACAGTATAAAAATAACAGCCCACTGACCATGTGAGAATTAAATAGCAAAAAATTCAAAATGATTATTAAAATAGTGTGTTTATACAAATTTTAGCATATTTTGGGTTTTGGAATTCACAGTCCTTTGTGGATCTTAGCTTAAAAAAATGTGTCTCACTTGCAGTATGCAGGTCAGACTCGTCTTGGATACCTAATCAGGTCAATAGGGTAGATAGACTTAACACTTCTTTACAAATCTCAATATTTAGGGTAAGTGTCTTTTTAAGCATTAGCAAACCATTCTGACAATATTCCCAAATTAAATTTCAAAGCGATTTGGAATAGTTTACTGTCGCTCAAAATAGTATTATTTAACATGTTCCTTCGCAGAAGCAATTCGTAGGTACATTGAACCTTGCAGATTTGTTTACCCCAGTTAGATCAAGTGACATTGATCGCCGAATTGGTCTATTACAGATCCTTCCTAGTTAATGGTCTGTAAATCTATAAAAAATCATAAATTTCTGTATCTCATTCAAAGATGATAACATATTCGATTTGTTGAAATGGATATTTGATGTTTAAATTGTTGAAGGTTTTTAAGATTTTATGACAGATGGTATTTCAATAAAAATCAATTTTTATCCTCTTTCGAAATTAAGAATGATTTAAAAATTAAAATGCCAAATATTTTTTGGAAGCAAACTTCAGTAACCCATTAAGAAGTAGGTACACTATAATAGTATTTATCTATTTTTATTTGCTTATTCTTTGATATTTTTTGCTGTTAAGTTACAAGGACCCCTCTCTTATTTGAATAATTCTTTGCAAGATATATTTTGAACTGAATAACATCAAGAAATCAGTTTATATTTATCATAGCAATAACATTCATGTCAATAAAATTCTGATTTTTGTAGAGTAATAACAGACTAGAGCCCTGAGGTGAAAGTGAAATACATGCATATATTCTTCACTATGAGGTATTAGAATTTTCCATTCTTGAGACATATTTATTGAATTTTCCAAAATGCTAAAGGATTTCGTCAGACCCTTCTCCCTCTAAATAACAAAATAGTTGGGGGGGGGGGGGGTGGAGGCGACAAATCAACCACTGATCCATTTCTATGGAAACTAGTGACTTTTGCTCATTTTGACAGGAAGAAAATTACTGGAAAGGTTGTTTGAATGGGTAGATGCGTACTAATAATGAAAAATAAAAAAATGAGTAAAAGAAAAGGTTGCAAAATATAAATATGAAAAAGAATTGAAAAGATAAAGTGAAAAATAACTATAAATAGAGAGATGATAAATAAATGCCGAAAGTAATTTCTAAAAATACAGAAAGAAAAGATTGTTAGCTGTTGCCAGGTGGTGATGGTAATGATGATGCAAGGAGATTGGAAAATCAATATTACTTGAAGTGTATTGGCTTCTGTACATTGATAACTATATTAGTGATTTTAAATAGTAAAAACGATGATGATGATAGTTGTGTGGTGATTGTAATGGTGTTAATTATGATAATGTTGACTGTAGTGATTGTGATCATAATCGGAATGGTAGTGTGATCATGGTTATGGTGTAGGTGATGAGGTGAGTTTGGTGTTGATAATTGGTGGCAATGAATTATGGTGATGATGACGGTTGGGATGTTGATAGTTGGGATGTTGAGTATGATGATGATGGTGGTGACCAGTGGCAGATCCAGAGAGATGTCCGAAAGGGGGGTCCAAAAGTGGGGCCGATCGAGACAACACTTGTCGGGGGAATGTCCGCAAAAATTTTCTATTTCCTAGGCTTCCGAAAATAATCGGCCCCTGGTCACAATGACAGTTATATGGTGATTGTAATATAAATTTGTTTGATTTTAGTAACCTAATTATAGCCATAATGGTGGTAATCATGGCTATAGTGTACTGAAGATGGTGATGATGTTGATAGTTGTGAAAGGTGTTGATGACATAGCGATTATGTTGACAGTCACCATGGTGGTGATGATGATGATAATGATGGTAATGATGAAGATGACAATAGTGATAATGATAGTAATGGTAACAATAATGATGATGACGATGATCATGGCAATAATGATGATAGCAATGATGAAGCCGATGATGACAACATAGATGATGATGATGATGAAGAAGACGATGATGATGATGATGATGATGATGATGATGATGATAACAATGTAGGTGATGATGATGATACTGATTATGATTATGGTTCTTCTGGTGATAAAGCTGATTATAATAACAATCATGTGGTAGTGAACCTCATGAAAATGATGAAAATATATTAAAGATGGTAATGATAATGATAACAAAATATGCGCTAATTACTTTATGACTGGATATACTTGGTCTCATTGTTGTACCGACACTTTCTAATTTTCATAAGCTTAATCTAATGGAAATAATTGGGGGGCAATCAATATGTATCTGGCAACTTGACATAGCCAGCTACTTGTTTGTCATGCATTGAAATGCTGTAGTAACACACACACGTTGACTAATTACTTTTTCTACTTACATTGTTTATTCAGGGATAAGGTGTGTCTGGATATTGTCATAATAAATAGCAATACTCCATTTTGTGTCCATGTTTGTTCAATTCCGTGTCTGCTACACTATATTTTGTGTCCATGTTTTCTCAAGTCTGTGTCTGCTATTAATTATATCATTAATAATTTTGTGTCTATCTATAAATCTAAGATATCCTCAAGTTCATGTCTGTTATTCTATATTTTTTGTGAACATCCATTCTATATTTGTTATTTTCCATTTTTGTCAATGGTATTCTCTGTTCCATGTTATGCTCTATTTTCTGTCCATGTTATGCTATTCAGTGTCTGTTAAATTCTCAATTTGTGTCCATTTCATTTTCCAGTGTATTTCTGTTATTCTCTATTTTGTGTCTGTGTAGCCTTCACTTTGTTACATATCATTTTGTGACTAAGTTTACCTCTATTGTTTTCTATGTTTCAATTTTTTTGTCCATATTTCAACATATTTTGCTTTAATGATAATTGTCTCTGTTCTCTATTTTTTTTTAAATTTTCAAACTTGTTTCCATAAACATTCACTCTGTTTCCAATGGATTTTTAAAATAATGAGAGCTTAATAGCGCACTTTATCCATTTGGGTATCACAGCACTTAACACCTTGAAATGACACTTTAAATTTACTTTGTACTTATTTTAAAATTTTAATGTACTTAGGTCATGTGATGCATGAATTAAATGTGTTTGGAAGGAAGCGTTCAATTAAGTGTTTGATGTAGTGTCTGATTTCAAAAGGGACATCATTACTTAGCAGTTCAGAGACATTGTGTGTTATTAGCTTTAACCTACTTTAAAAAATAATCTTGTAAATAAATCATTTCAGTTCATTTGAATATATCATTGTACTTGTCACTGAATTTGCATATGAATTTGCATATTGACATGCAAACACACTGAATTGACAACAGATGTGAAGAGAAAAAAATGTGATGAGAAACACATGAAAACTACTATATCACACAAGGCATTGTGAAAGAAAAAGAAGGAAAAAAATAAGTAAAAATAAGGAAGACCAGCAGTTTCACCTCAAAGAGTGCAATTGTAAAGGAGTATAAATGCAATAAAGAATAATGATTTTTTTTTTTAATGTAAAGAATACAGATATAACAAACTTACTGCTTGTTTTAGACATGGAGACTGAAATTGGAATACACAGACAAAAAGGGTTACTTGGCATACGATAATCATATGATAATCACACAAGTTGGATCTAAGAGAAACACACACAGTTTGATCTTTATATAATTATACAAAATTGACTGAACAAAGGTATGTTTTTCACTATTTTTAATGTAATAATAGAGATGATGATGTTTGGATGAAATAATGTCTTTATATAAAAAAAAAAACCCCCAAAAATTAGAATACAGTATCACCAAAGCACTATGCAAAAAAACAATACAAAAAATCCTGTACTCCTCCCCAACTCAACAACAAAAATACGGACTCCTTGAAACTTGGATATCTTCAGCTATATGTTTAAAGTGAGAAATTTATATAAATTTTAGTATGAACTATAACAACAATAATACTGTAAACATATAATAAATAATAATATGGGCATTTTATCTAACTTTGTCTTGCTAAAAATAGGATAAAGTTTTGTGTTTTGTTTTGTTTTCTTTACTTTCAACATCATCTCAGGGCCTTTATCAGCTCTTAAGTGATGGAATCAAACAATACCACCACCACTAAAATCAACCCCCCCCCCACTTCCAAAGCAATGTAGTATACATGCAAAAAAAAAAGTATGCAATGCTCAGAAAGGAACAATCACCTATAATAAGTGTAAAACACAGTGTGCAAGTGGAAAAAAAGAACAAACAGATAAACAATATAACCTGAAACTGTAGTTACAAACAGCTAATAATCAGTCAACTATGGTGGGTATATTCAATTCAAAAATAGTTTCTATCACTAAATATATTTACAGAAAAATATAAATGAAAAATAAAGCTATATAATTAATTACTAAGAGTATACAAACAAACTTAAATACTAATATATTTCTTTCCCATTCATAAAGGAGGTATTATTCCAGTAAGGAATAACTTGCACAATTGGAACTCATGATTCCTTGTATACTTATGACAAAAACACTTTAACTAGAATTACACTGATAAAACTAAGAAAAAAGGAGCTGAAACATAACTTGTCACTGAGAAGCATCACCAATATAAACATGAATGCAAGTATTCTATATTTAAATTAATTACTTAAAAACCTCTAGCATATCGGGACAAGACTAAATGACAAGAATCAATCAGTTAATCAAAAATGAATACATCATGATGCAATGGTGTCCAATGTCAGCTTTACCAAGCATCGTCATGATGACGATGATGATAATGATCGTGATGATGATGATAATGATCGTGATGATGATGATGGAAGGAAATGCAGATTCAGCATAATGATGGCATCAGCATGTGAAGTTTGATTGTACCAGTATATACCCACAACTTTCAACACCAAATTGAGTACTAGTTCAGTGTAGGCTTTATAGTTTATACACAGGAAAAAAAGTAGCATTATGACCTACTGTAGGAGTGCCTCGATGACAGTTTCTAGGCTTTATAAAGAAGACCTATAGGTACCGTAGCCTGGTGTAGGTCTAGCTAGCAAGTTGACTCTAATACAGTGCAATATTTCATACTTTGTTCAACACTTTCAGAATTGTTATTAGAATCACAAACAGTTTAGTATTTCCATTCCAAAACTCTGAAATTATGGTGTGAGTATTTTTGCACTTGGCTCATACCAAAGAAACTAATCACATTTGAAATATTTCCAAACATTTTCAAACTGCTCTGTTAGGATTTAGGTTGCCTACATAAAACTAATGGATGGTCTCAAATGAACAAAGTATGTTTCAAGGATTTTACTAAAGACTCTCCGAAGCTAAAAATTCTGTAAACGTAATCTGTTACTTACGCTGAAGACAGTCAGCATTCAAAAGGTCTTTACATTTCTCATGACACTTGACACCGCACTCAGTGCAGCGTACACCTTGCCTTGCAATCCCCCACAATACCCCTTCACATTCGTAGCACATGGTGGGAGCGGTCGCTGTCCAAACCTCAAAATTATGAGGTGTTGTACTGGAGATGGGGTAGATAAGAGCTTGCAATGTCTTCTTATAGACATGAATTTTCTGCAGACAGGAAAGAATTAAAAGGGAATTATGAAAAATTATAATATTAATTAATCAGTCAATCAATCAATCAAGAGGGATAAATAAAGTGCCAAAATATATAGTAATAGGTATAACAACAATAAAAAATATCAATAATTAATAATCGATAATGTTCAAAGTTATATATTTGGAAAATTGTATGACACATTAGTCAATTGTAAAGGTCATTGCATTTTCATTTCATTATCTCAATTGTGTGTATTTCAGACTGTCTTCATTGAGACATCAGAGTAGCATTCTAATTAACTGGGTCAAGCCGAAGAAAAACAGCGATTTGTCTTCTGAGCTTCGCAAGTCGATAACTCACTGATAGGACATAGCTTAACAGTTATGAAATCAAAATCATCTGCATACATACTGTACTTTTTGCATTCAAGAGTACGTGCACCTGTGTACAGTAATTGCCACGTAAGTAGAAAGGATCACACCGAGTCATTAGGGACGCTAAAGGAATGAGTGCTTGGATTAGTTCGGCTTCATTTGCTATTACTTATTCGGCACAATCTTGTTTATTATACTTGCTGCTTTAATCAAATATATCGGGAGCCTTTACATTTTGAAAATTGCAATGCTGTTGGTATACAGAAAAGACGACCTACTAATTCATTATCATTCAGTGAAGGTCTTGTTACCAGAGGTGACGTCTTTGGCCTTGGATTCCGCACAAGGGACTATAAAAATGATAAAAATACGGAAAGAATCTCATTAAACCAGGCATAAAAAATATTGGAAACCTAACCTACTTTCATAAATTTGAAAATTTTGAATTCAAATAGAATATCTTATGTACATTAAACCAATAATATTAGTGGTTTTTCCATGTGGTATTACTTGGCAATTTGCCAAAAAAAAAAAAGCAACAGCGAATCACAGGTTGAAGATTTCTGGATGATTACAATTCCACAGAAGCATGGGTGCAGATAATGGGGGACACTTTCCCCACAAATTTTTAAGGGTTGGTCCCCCACTTTTAGACAAAGATCAAGAGGATGCCTGAATATTGTTGAAATAAACTTCATAAATGTTCCTCAAATTTTGGTGGGGTGGAGGTGGGTGTGGACTCACTACAACTGTCCCCACCCCCCCACCTTTCAAAACAGATCTGCACCCTTGAATAGAAGGATGATTATAGTAAGCCCACATTCATCCATCTATGAAGGTTTAACATATCAGCATCCTGAGCTGTTTAAGCTATTAGAAGCTGTGATGCAATGTTTACTAGTATCAACAGATGTAATGTTTACTGTCTCAACATTGCTGTTGATAGCAGGTTAAAGTGTGTATGCAATTATGACATTCAAGACTAGGAAATACCAATTTAATTCTCTACAGTAAAAAAAAAATGCAAATATGCTTGTGGCCATGTTCAAACATAAGCTCAGTGACTCAAGTCCGAGGTGGTACTTTTGTGGGGCAGTTTCATACCAAGCTAAAACCAGGCACTAATGTTCACGCTGCGTTATTCACGCCAATCGCATCGTATGAGCTTAGCCTCAAGCATATAAATGTATAAAGTAAAATAACATACTGCTTACATAGAAATTATAAGCAATAAAGCTGGATTTTAAAAAAATAATGTGTTTGAGATAAAGTGTGGTGAGATGACAAAAAGAGTGACATAACAACTACAAAGACAACAATAATAATATACCAACCATGTAATGCATCTGAAACTGAACGTATGAATATTAAGGCCAACTCAAACAGCGTCGGCCGACGCAGCCCGACCCGATTTATCGTCGGGGACAGTTTTAAGCCATCCTGAGAAATATTAAACATGTTTAATATTCTACGACGCGACTGCCCCTGACGCACACCATCCCGTCAGCATTTAACTCACACAGACCCGATGCGACAACAAATCGCGTTGGGCTGCGTCGTACAACGCTGTCTAAGTTGGCCTTTAGACAACTACTGCACAAGCGCAACCGGAACAGATTTTGGATGCAGGACCACACATTTTTCAATATCTACTAATACAAAAATGTCCCATGCCCTTTCCTCTGGATCTATCCCTGCCATGTGGAAAGTGTTACATGGAAATTAAAAGAAGGGGAGGATGGGATGGGATGGATTTATGAATTGTCACAACCAAAGTTTTATTTTACCAAAGTCAATAATAGTTGCGCATATATTATATATTTTCTGACAATATGAACGTGGTTCAGTTTGCAGTGTTTGTCATAATGTAATGTAATGTTAAATGTAATGTAATTCCCAGAGAAAACAAAATGCACAGAATTGTATTTACATCTTTACGGTGTGATGGATATATTTAGGACATGAAGGATTATTATTGAAATTAATCAATCAAATTGATATGGTTATATGAAATATGTCTCAAAAAAAAAAAAAAAAAAAAGACAAAAGCTGCAAGTCAAAAGACCAGTTGGTATACTCAAAAAGTTGATTGACAGGACAAACTAAAGATGATAGTTGAAAGAAAGAAAAAGATAACCGATGGTAAAAGGTTCTGCTTGGAGAAATTGTGATGAAGGGTTCAACCTACAAACTTATAGTCTACAGGGCACTGACATTCAATTTGGAAGAGTTGTGATATGATTTATAATCTTGTTAATATGTTAGTGTTGATTAGTGTTTGCAATAAGTTTCGCTTTTTTCACCCTAATGATTTCATTGTAATTAACCTGTTAAAGTCTTTTGATGTTCAGAATTTCAAATTCATTTTGTGCAAGTGATAGTAAGTGTCACAATTTTCTCCCAAGGGAAGTCAATAATTTATGAAATTTTGAATTATCCTTTTAAAGAAGGCATTAAACAGCAGCATATAGCCTTTAACCTGCTAGGCTAAGATTCCATTGGAAATAATATCAATGTGAAGTAACACTTAATTGAATCGAAAACATTTGTGGTTGAAAGCATCCAACTCAATCACACTCCTACGGCTGTCATATTCAAAACCATGGAGAGCATTATTTCAGTGGTAGTGCAACAGCATATATGCTGTCTCTTATACACATCTAGATGTGTATAAGAGACAGTTCTTATAGACATGAATTTTCTGCAGACAGGAAAGAATTAAAAGGGAATTATGAAAAATTATAATATAAATAATTAAAAGCCAATATTTGATTTTTTAAAGCTAAGACTCATTCAGGTCATACCTTAGCCTTTTGCCCAAGAAAAAAAGGTACGTAAAATTGAGTGTAAAGTAGGGGTTGGGCTTATAATGGACATGGGCTTATACTCAAGGAATATTTAATTCTTTGTGGCTAATTAGAACAAGGTTCAACTACAATAGACATACATTCAAATACATTTATTCATTTTACCTTATTAATGTTCGATTAATTTCATTTTATTCTCCATTGAATATTTATTTTATATTATTGACTTCATTACATTTACTATTTATTTTTTTAGTAAAGTTGCAATTTCACCAAACTAAAAATTCTTATTAATTTAATTTTCTTTAAATATCTTAAAATATTCATTTACATTTGTAAATGATTGTTTTTGTAATTAAACAATATTTATTAATAATTTGATATATAATTTTATTGCAAAAATTATTCCAATTAAAATCTTACTATCATATATAAATGTTAAAAATACACTGTCCACGAAAGCAATTTAAATTAAATTAAAATGATTCCTTAATTCAAGGATATAAACAAATTATTAGCTGCCAATGAGAGGAAGATAAAAAAAAACCACTTAATTTCATTGATTTATGGTTTTCTCATTATTACCACCAAATTAGAAGTCTTAAAGTCTAGGAATATATTATTTACGCATTTATAAATTGACAAGGGAAACATTGCATTATTTTAAGTTTTTTTTTTTTTTAATAAAAGCTAATAACTTACTAGAAAAAAAGCAAACACATCAAAATAAATGTTATTTTTAGATCAACATGGATAGCCTAATATTTTATTTTTTCAACATTCATCAATTTATGCATTAGAGTAAACATTACAATAAGTTATTCAGCTAATAATCACAGAATATGCAGTGTCATGAGACTAAGAAATGCAGCATTTTATACTGTAATTGTCTGGATTTGTTAGATCCAAGCTGGATCTATCTGTAGGCCTAATACTTTTTGAATTTTATAATCTCAGAAAGCAAGCCCATCCCCAAAACTTGACCCATTTTTGTGTTCCTTTTTAAAGTCGATAAGCTTGCACCTAGAACCTACAAAGAAAATCCTCAAATTTGAAGGATTTGAACCAGGGCCTCTAAGATTGAAGGTTGGGCATCTTAATCACTTTACCAGCATCACCAACACAACAATAAGTTATATTATATAGTTAATTTAATTTTTATAAATTACTATTTTCAATTCCAATGTTATAGTACTTGCCAGAATATAATCACATTAGTGGGTAATGAAATTAAGGTAGCGTCTAAGGGACGACAAGTTATTATGATAGGATTATCGGAACATTTCATACCACCCTTGAGGCTTCAGAGCAGTCGGAGTGTGGTTCCTACAGGCTACGGGGCAGCAGCTGAATCACATGGCCCTTGCCAAGGCAGTCGATAGGCTGGATGTCTAAGTAGAGGGCAAGCCACTATGACTAGGGCAGCAGCTACAGGATAGGATGGCAATTAAAATAGAGGCCAAAGCAACGGCGCCTATAAAACAATTACTGGGCACTCCATCTTAAATAGGCCACATTTGGTTTTTTCAAAGAAAGTTTTTGCCGTCATTATCATATGTTGTTGGTGAAATATAGTGAAAAAATTAATACGTGGAATGACGGAATACAAAAAAAAAGAACACCCATGAAGACATTTTTTTCACACTGCAATCATTATAACCAAATACCATAGTAAATGACTACAAAGTATTAACAACCCTCATGAGAGAAAAATAATAGGAAAAAAGAAATATCATCTTATTTTACCAATTAAGAATACATGAGTTTTACATATTTAAGGATAGCTAAAAAAAGATTTTAAGTAGTATACAAATAGCATTGATGGGAAGAACACAGTAAGCTGTTCAGCTCAACAAAAATCATACAGAAATTACACTGTACGTAAGAATACAGCATACTACGTAAAGCATGTACAAAATTCATAAAATACATGATCTAAAAAAAGGGCTACAACTTTGCATGCTAACCAACGAGAACCAAATGCGAGTAAAATGAAGCAGAATACATAATTTGATGCAAATGATTAAAGTTACATACCAAACATAATGGTTTCAACCCCTTCTCCTGATGAATCATAGCAAAGAATTAGAAATAATGTTAACAATCAATCAAACAATTATGCAAATACACTCTAAACATTCAACATTATCATCAAATATAAGTTATCTTTGTTGGCCTTTTTCAACGGCGAATGATTTGCCAAAGCTTGAATTCTTTTACTTTATTTATGACTGAAAGTGCTATATATTTTTTCAATATAATAATTATTGCAAGATGGTTTAGAGCTGATATTTTTTTACATATAATTATATTTATATAAAATTTCTATTATATCTAATAAGCCTTAAAGTCACCAGAAGTATGCCATCGATTAAGAAAATTAACTCTAGATTCTAGCAAGGTGGAAAAAAATAATTGAAAGAAGCACCCACAAATTTCCATCAATCAACATTAATATTTAGAGGTCTTTCAACATTTTCACAATTACAAACACTATGCTAGGGGGAGGAGGTTTAAAATTTGTACACTTTTATATATGCATAAAAATGTTGATTCAAAATAACATGCATTATGTAAAATAATGGTAAAAATATAATGTAACAATGAATAATAATATCAATTTTCAAGTACCCAGGTACATTAATTTTAGTTGACTTCACAAAAAAATGAAGAATGTTTTTGCAAAATCAATACTTTTTTGTACACTTTCAGAGCAGAGGGAGGGGTACTGAAAAAGAGTACTGTTTTTACGCTTGTGAAAATTTTGATAATTGTGAAAAACCCCTAACATAACTAAAAACCAATGTTGAAGAAATTCAGAAAGTGTATCATTATCAACCATATTGTATAAACATGTAAAAAATATAAAAAGAATCAATTCATTGCATTGGTCCTAAACTGCTAAATATCACAGAGCAGATATATGTAGCCAAGCAAAAAGAACCAACCTGGAAGCATGAACCCAGTATTTACAGTTTAGAAGCTTAAGTCTTAAATACTGTGCCACATGCATTCATGCACCTTGAGAAAATCTCCTGATTGTAGCTAGCTCAAGCTACTGAGCTCAAGCAACTGAGTGGGGAGGGGGGGAGAAGGTGTCTACACATACTTTCTTATTATTTTATCAGACACTGCAGTATTGATACAATGCTGCTTGACTTTGGAAAGTTCTGTATTTGAGTACTGAATCTAATGGATGATGTAATAGAAAACCTCCTGCATTTGTTTGCAATCATTATTTGCCAGATGAAAGAAGATCTGTCCTTTACCTGAAATTAAGTAACAACTACTTAAAACTTAATTACCATAGCATCAAAGTGTCTAACATAAAACAGCTTTAAACCTAAACTCATTGCAATGCACCTTTAACTATGCAGTGAAAGCACAATCTCATTACAACAATACACTGAGGTGCGACCCGTGCCTTAATAAATATTTGGGGGGAGGAGAACATCCAACAGGGGCTAGATGGAACTCGGCGAAATGCGTCCATATACGCAGAAATAGCCAAAAAATTAAAGGAATGTGGCTATGATTTCACAAGCAAGCAGATTATAAACAAATGCAAGAATCTACGGAGACAATACACTGCAGCAAACGCTAACAACAAGTCCGGAAACCCCCCTTCAGAGTGGGTGTACTTCGAGGAGATGGATAAGATTTTTGGGGAACGTTAAATAAAATAACCAGTGAAGTAAAAACAAAATTGTATTACGAGAAAAAATAATATCGGAATATAAAAGACAATCGATTAACAACAGTAAACTATCCACTCCTTCAAAACAAACCGCGCGAATTGAGCGGAAGTACGATCTGACCCTGTATCCCAGAACACATTGCGCTATATGATACTTTGCAAGTACTTTGGCGTGTTAGCCCTTGTAATGGTGTGTTGTATAAACGCCGACGTTTGGAGGATCGTCTCGGCTAGCGTAAACACATTCAAGGACGTGAATCCGTGTTCGTATTTAGTGTGTAGTATAAACACAGCCAAAGTGTCTAACATAAAACAGCTTTAAACCTAAACTCATTGCAATGCACCTTTAACTATGCAGTGAAAGCACAATCTCATTACAACAATACACTGATACAATCTGAAGAAATTAGGATTCAGCATTTCTAATCTTAAATTCTTCGTTTTAAGAGATCAAACTTTGAAATTGGAGAACACTAATAAATGAAATGAACTTGATAAAACAACTGTAAGGCTTTATTAAAAAAAAAAACTGTTCCTAATCCAGATAAATGCCCTGACATACTTTAAAAAAAAACCTACAGGAATGGCAATATTGCTACTTTAAAAAATGGTGATTACACATCCTCATATCAATGTGAATGCTCTTCAGATAAAATGACATTAATTTTGCTTCACTAATTATATAATTAATGCATTGATGGGATAGATTTGCTGTGTAAACTGGGTGAGTAGTTGCTATTTATTTATCAAAACCATTTAATTCCAAACGTAATTGCATATATCACATCAGGGATACGACAAACCTCAACGGAAGTAGGAGATTATTGTTTTTTTTTTTTTTCCAGTATGTCAGTTGTCATCATTGCTGGTATGTGCTATTTGGTGATATTAATTCAATCATTACTGTATGCTTTACAGTATCATTCTGACTAAAAGTAATGCCATATCAAATCTTTCCATTGATCTTCAAAATGAAAAAAAATAATTAATCTAAAGAAATGACAATCTTTGCACAAAAGCTATAGAGCAATACATTTTAAAGTTAGTCTTAAAAGTGTTGCGATTTTTCATTTCTTATATATTCAACTTAAGTTAGAAGGTCAATTTATGTCGCTTGACTAGAATTACAAAATTAAGAACGTTGTTTGAATGGTAATTTGCAGTTATCGTCTGCTCAACCTTATACTTAATCTTGCCGACAGTAATTCTACCCTAAATACTAGAATTCATGAAAAATTTACATGATTTTCTTAATGTACACCAAATTTTACATTGCCAACATTGGTTGTCATTTTGTTAAGCATCAATAAAACAACCATGTCTAGATTTAAGTGATATTTCAGACTGTGCTCACAGCGGCTCAAAATAAATTTAACTTATACTAAACCTCTAGGTGGTTTCCCCCTAAAATTAGCTGTCATGTATCACTATATTTAAACCTGGGGGGGAAATGCTTTAATAGAAAATCTGTTGACGAAATGTTATACATTAAGACATACACATACAACTATACATGTGTATGCTATACTCACACAACATACACATGCAAAATTAATGTACAAATTGATACACATAATATGAGACAGAAAATAACGAAATACATTGTGTTACACAGCTAATAACATTCTTCTAAATACATTATAAAAAAATAAGTAACACAATATAATATCAGTATACTCATATAGTAAAATACTTTGTTAGATCACTAACAGTCAAGTATCTTAATAAAGATACAGTATGTTTAAAAATGATGAGTTAATAAAATTAATAAATTGATAAAAATCACCATGAGTACTGACAAATGTGATTTAGTAGTTTATTTTTAAAAATATTTCTATTTTACATTTTATCATTTGGTATAATCTAGTCTACATTGGATACTTCTTATTGTCAAAATATAAATTTTACCGTTTTTCGCGAACGCTGGCATTCTATGGGAGAGGGTAAATACTCCTAAATGCCGGCTTAGGTTAGACCTCCTCGGGACCTAGTCAAAATACCGCATTAATTACGTAGCGGTTCATTGCCATCTTACACATTGAAGCATAACAAATTAGAGGTCAAAGTGCGAAACATTTTTGCTGCACACTGGGTTGCCAATATAAAATTGCGCCCTCTTTGTTCTCAAACGCAAAATACTCCTTTCGCGTGGGACCCCTTTCAGACAGGATACGGTATTAATACCGAAATTTACTAATTGTTTGAAAGGGTCTATACCGGCAATAGCGCCGGCGTGACTACGGTATAATTGTGGCATTTTTTGTTTGAAAGGGGCTTTATTGTGACTGTTGGGAGTCCCACACAATTTTTCTTATACCTGTAGGTCCACAAAGAATGGGTCCACATTTTTAAAAAGGGTCAACATTTTGCAAGTTTATGCATAAAATGGGTTCACTTTTTGAAAAATGGGTCCAGATTTCTCATATTAAGCATAAAATTGGTAAAATTTTAAGAAAAATGGGTCCAGATTTTTCATATCTTTGCATAAAATGGGTAACCTTTTTAGAAAATGGGTCCACATTGTTAGAATTTACCTGTAAAGTGGGTCCACCCTGATATTGTGCCGCACTGTTTGCAAATCCTGGCTATGGCATTGACTGTGACATTGCATGAATTGGGAGTCTCACTCTTGGTTTCAGTGGCGTATCTAGGAGTCTTGAAATGGGGTGCTAATGGGGGCACGAAGGTGAAGTGGGGGCTCGATGATCAGTTGAGGGGCGCTAACTAGCAATATAGGGTGATTTTAGGTGCTTTTTAACATGACCATGATTTTTAGGGGGCATCTAGAAGGGCGCAAGTAATTTTTGAAAGGAAGTGCTCCCCCGCCAAATGATGCCACTGCCATGGTTTGAGTCTCATATCTGGAATGAGCCTCATGCCTAGCATTGAGATGTCCACACTACAAGCCTTTAACTAGGGTTGACTTAACTCAGCCAGTGGAAATCATCTAGCTTTAACATTATCTGCATAGCTGATATTGGCTTTAATCAGCGGCTACCATGAGAAGGTATAATATGCCAATCTAAGGTCAACCCATGGGTCAATGATGGGCCAACTTGGGTACCTTGTCTGGGTTTAGTTGAGAGCGCTTGCATGCCAAATGTAAGCCATCCCTGGCTGGTTTAGACAACAAATTTAGACAACAAAATTAGACAACTAAACTGAGTCAAGCTAATCTGACATAGCTATTAAAGGCCTACAGTAGGTCAAGGGTCTCATAACTATAATCTACAGTATGCTAGATATATAGCATTTCTGTTAATACACTTTGGGACTGTGAAATAGTGTATGCTAATAAGTCTAATTTATTATTATTATTTTTAATACTACATACTACCAGTGCCAATTTGACGAATCATTCCATGCAGAACAAATCTTTTCCACGAAAACTTTAATTATAATAATTAATAGGGTTGAGTTCAAAGGACTTAAATGTTGATCTATTACCGTATTACGACATCTTTGGCGAAATATTGTTCATGCCATGTTTGGCAAACCTGCTGACCGTAGATAAAAATGATTTTAAATAAATATATTTTTATTCTTGGCTTGTCACAGTGAAATATAGGAACTTTAGAAGGGAAAAAGTTATGCTTACCACAACTACCAATAAGAAATCTTTTTTATTAGGTATGAATAAAAATCATTAAAAATAATAAAAATAATTAACTATATATTATTATATATTAATATTATCTTCATCGTTATTAATTATTATCACTGATACCGTAAAATTGAGACCATACCATGATGTCAGATAATAATACCACATTCAACAAAACAGACAGAAGTACGATCATGCAGAGTAGTTGAATATGTTGCAAACCTCTAAACAACTTTACATACAATAAACATGGCCAACACCATCAAAGATAAAAAGAGAACCTCACCACCTGTATCGATCTGCTAGGTTCCGGTATTTCAGAAATTGAATCAATACCGAAGAAGGGTCCATTGCGCGGACTGTCTCGTGTAAACAGTAGCATAATAAAAATAGAGAAACAAATATTTATGAATCAAAATATTAGGTTTAGAGAATGCATGAACTACAAAAAAAGATCTAAATATTAGGTGCAAATGAAGTGCCAAAATCTATATATTAGATGGTTGAAAGCTGTGTAAATTTAAATAGGAATGGAGAAAAAAATTGGCATCTATTGTGTGCTGACCTACCATTATCCAGAAATGTTTATAAAAAATATTATTATTTCTACCATATTTGAATTAGTGATCATTATGCAAAGTCATATCTGAAAGTTTTTGATTTTCTGGCAAGCCAAAATTTGAGCTTAACCACCACAGTGAACTGAGAAAGATTTTTTATACATGTATTGCAATTTCGCATTAATAAACTTGTGGATTTGATATCAGCCAGCTGAAATGAGAAGCCAAATAAGTGCCAAGAAAAAAGCTGAATAGTCAAGAATGATTTTGAGGAAACGGGAGTGACTGTCTTACTGGGAAAGAGATTTAAATGATGCAAGTTACAATTATTACCACTGATATCCTTCTCGATGGCTTTTCGTCAGGCATCACATTTATATCATAAAGATTGCTAAAAAAATTGTCAAATAAAAAAAATACAACTTTTTTTACAAATAAAAATAATAACAGTATACTAATGGCCTTAACAGATATTGTTAGCTCTACTACACAGAAACAGATACTATATCCAACATAATAACATTCTAAATGCCAATAAATTTTGTGAATTATCTAAATGGCAGGACAATAAACTAGTTGACATTTGTTTTATGGATTGAGAATGAATGTTTTATTTTCATTGTTTGCTTGCTTGTTGATTTTGAGTGTCAACTGAAGATAAATGAGGATAGTGTCATATTTCAATTATGGAATCTTTAATTTTCGCACGCATATAATTATTAACAAATAATAAATGGAAATATTGCATTAGGGAGAAACAAAATAGAGATATTTTTGGGGCCATATATTTCATTTCTCTCATCAAACAAATATCAGATATACTCACCAATCACAAAGAGTGTGATTATCTATATAATTATATTGTAGTTTAAGTCATTTGAAACACTGACCAAGAAAAGTATTTTACCCCTCCCACCAAAGTGCAACCAGGGTGTCATTGATTAGGGCAAATCACCCCCTGGACACCACCAGGAATTTCAAACCTGGACTTCAAGAAGATCCCTCTGTCGTCCACGTAAGCTTTGCAAGGTTACTTAAGCTTTGCAAGGTTACGTGCCTGTTCATTTCACAAAGCTGTGGACCCTCCTGTCAGATTTACTATAGCCCTACAGTCTCAATTCTGACAACTGCTGCTCTAGTCTCTGAATGCTGAGGTTATTTGAACATATGAAATACACTTAGGTATGATTTGGACCAACAATCTATTTCATTGCTAAGCATGTAACTTTAAAAAAAAAAAAAAAAGATGGCAACATTAGGATAACCTTTACCAGCCCTTATATATTTTCCTAATTACAAACTTGGAAATAAAACTGCCAATTGACTTGCGCTGATGATACTTTGTTATGACTGACTGTATTTCTAAAGTCAAAATATAAATTTTGATTTGAATAACACTGTAGAGAAATTTAAAAAAAACAAAAATAACAAAAAAAACAAAAAATAACAAAAAGATTAGCAATAACATTTCTTTCGAAAATGAAAAAAATAATTAACATTTATGGTAGCCAAGATTATTAGGCTGCAGTACAATGTAAAACTACTTGATTACTGTGCAACAGCCTACCAAGCAGTCGATATTGTTGAGTGCATCATCCATTATAGTCAAAACACAATTTAAATAGGTTTTTCAAATGATGCATCAAACCTCATAATTCCGATGAAAACTCATCATATTATTGAATTGTATTTGTCAATTTAAGGCATAAATAAAACTCCAATGTCATAAAACTTAGATGCGTCAGCTGAAAAGTGTTGGTAAACAGAGCAAGCAATAATGCTGGATTTGTGATTTTAGTCAGTTTCTATGATAAATTTCCAAAATACTTATGGTCTAGTAAAATTTACAAAGTTTCCTTTCTCTTATCGTGGGTCTTAAGCCCCATTCCCGGCAAAATTTCAGTTGTTAAGAAAAATCTGGTTTTTATATATGTTTTAAGATTTATAAATATAATATGTAATTGCTAGTTTAACTGAATTTAGACATTCCCGAACATGAAAAAAAAGTAAAATAAGACTGAAATTTGATTTTTTTTGTTTGTTCCACGCAAAAAATAAACATGGATGAATTTGTTATGTTTGATTTTACGATAGGTCTGTAAAGAAATATAGCAGCCGCCGGAAACATTAACCTATCAACACAGGCCAGGCTAGATAGCCATGAGAAATAGTCTATTTATTTTTTTTATCCTTTTGCGTAAAAGTAAAATTTATGCCAATATTTTTCCATGTTTTATAATAATAATTAGAGTAATGCAAATTTGCCAGGAATGGGGCTTTAATTCAATCTTTTTTTGGTACCTTAGGCAAATCACTGGAACATCAGTTGATTCCCTCTCCTAGTACGCTATCAACAATGGTAATTGTACATGAATTGACGTGGGGATTATTAAGCAGTATACTTTTAAGATCAGTTGTTTTGAGTGTTCTTCTTAGTTTGACATTAGAAATAGAATAAATTATTCAACAAAAAAGAACATCGCATATTAATAATAATAAATACAGTACAACAATAATAACAATTCATCCAAAAATAGGGCTTTTCGCAATTAATTTCAACTTAGATCCAGCGGGAAGCTTGCCATTAAGATAAAAATGCAAGTTTGTGAGGAAAGCGAACAATATCTTAAAGTAGATTGGACATTTTCATCAAAACAATCATTATTATTGTTTTGAATAAGAATTCTAATTTGATTCAACTGAATTTTGCATGTTGACATTTACAATACAATTGAAATACAAAGTATTATCAAGCATCATAATACATAAAAATACAGTTAGTTTGGAACAAGACAAAAAAAATAGTATAAATTAATCTATCATTAAGAATACAAATGATATAAAAATGAAACTGTAAACTCACCCTCCATTTCCCATGATAAGTTGCGACTCTTCACTTCCGCTCATAACTGATGCCTATACAAAACAAAAACAAATTCATAATAATTTTTTAAACTTTTGTAGTTTCATTTTATTATATTATAAGCACATGGGGATCCCAATTTAGAAGCCATTTCTGGGAGATCTGGTGAAATGAGCTGTCTTAACATATTTGATTTTACTTTGCTGCATGGTACCATGGCCAGGGCGACAATTGATAATAGAATAGTAGCATATGTAAATGTCATGAATTTGCAAGAGATTGTTAGTTTCTGGGAGTTTTTCATTCTCCCAAAGTGTTTGAGGCAATCCCCATTTGTAGTTGTTTTTGTAATTTAAATTTTGTTAATATTTACTTTAAAAATGGCCTTGTGAAAAACACATTTAATCTGTGATCAAGTTTTCCATTTTCAAATAAAGTCATTATTATTATTATTATTATTATTATAGCTAGAAGAGGCAGCATCTCCTTATTAACCCACAAACATATAACACAATAAACAAGGGAAATGGTCAATATACTGGTGGCGGTAGCAGCAGGGTACCGGAAAAAAAGTGCCACGAGTTCACAGGAACAATTATGTAAAACCAACGTTCTAAAGTTTATTTGAAAGATGTGGTAATTCAAGTGTAACGGTTTACACACAAGGAGACATATGGTAATTGGTCCTAACAGGATTCGAACTAGGTCACTTGTGTTGCAAAGCTCTGTGTTTGACCACTGCACCATCATGTTTCTTTATTAAAATGTACATCATTTTTCTAAATATAAAGAGATTTAAATGAATTGAGATATTAATTATCAAACACCTTAGAACCAGACACTCAAGGTCACACTAGAACCCAGACAATCAGGATATTAAAGCCTTCCATCGATCCAGTTATTCTTCTCACTTTGAATTTATTTTGCATCATCATAATTATTATACACAATACAAGAGAAAATATACATTACAATGCAAATTAATTACAAATATTAAATGATGCAAAGCCTATGGAAGTCTTGTTTAAGACTTCCATATTATATCGTACATAACTTTTTGTAATTAAAAGGTACAAGAGCATTTCAGCAGAATAGAATTTACGATGAGAGAGATATTGGAATAAAAAGGAAAATATTAGAATGAGAAAGAAACTGTTATGAAGAAGACATTTTAATATGAATTTTTGTTTAAAAGTTAAATCAATATTACAACCTACATTATTATTGTAATTAAAAGGTACAAGAGCATTTTGAGTAGAACAAGAGAATTGAGGAAGAAAGAGATATTGGGATAAAAAGAAAAATATTAGAATGGGATAGAAAATGTTATGATGAAGACATTATAATACGACATTAGGATTAGGGAGGGAGGATAAAAAGAAATTTGGATGTGAGAAGTTGTAATGAGGGCAATATTAGGATAAGAAAGAAAAGGAAATGGGGAAAAATAGAAAGACGATCCATCCACCCCCAATAGATGGGGCACACCTATTTCAGTCCACCATAGTTGGGAATGATGTGAAAAAATGTCGCCTCTGATACCCCAAAATGGCAATTGGCCAATTGTCTCTAGTTTAGGAAATTATTCTCAATCCCTCACCCCTCAAATAGTATACAGACTCCAGTATGGTCGGGCCAGGTGTCCCCATTAACTGGGCCCAGCTAGCCCTCCTGTTGGTGCTGCCCCTAAAAAAGGCTGTAGGATTTAGGCAGGGTAGGTAAAAAGACAAAAGGATGGGATGATCAAGATTGATAGAAGTAACAGAGACTATATTGTAGGAAACATTTCACTGTAGCAGTCTTGCAAATGAAATTGATTTATCATCTAATGAGCTTCAATATGCCACACACCATTGTATCAAAGTCAATCTTCTTGAGATGCGATGCAATTGTATTATGATTATCAAATTATAAAATATTGGTTATGGTAGGTTAGATTTTGTTATCCAAAGCTGCCCATCCGCAAATAATTATACATAAATGAATGAATGAATAAATATATAATAAATAATAAAAATTCAACAAAAAAATAGACAATTTTCATCATTAACTGATAGGTGGACGTCATTTTCACGAGCTCACATGGAAAACGCTGATATTATTATGTGTATATTTGATGTACATAAATGCTTAAAAAAATAATATACTGAAACAATATACAGTATCGTACTGAATATAAGTCTGTATATGACACTGTTATGTCTACTTTTTCCCATGTCATCATTTAAACTGATTGGTCATCGTCATTTTAACGAGTCCACATGGAAAACACAGATATTTGTGGGAGGACCATTTTTGACCATTGTTTGAATTGGTTTATGGATAAGAAAATGCATTAAATCCTTTGTCCCAAGGGCAAGGTCTTTGGGGTCCGATAAATTTTCCCTTGCTCGAATTTCAGCATCTTGTTTTGACGTCAAAATGAAAACTCAGTCATCCAATTGACAGATTTTAAATCAATCATTATAAACTCTCTAGCTAGGCTACATTTAAAATGTACTATAAAAATCAGTGACCTACAACAGAGCACTGTATACTTATGTTGAGAGAGATAATTTGCCATGAGCCAAAACAATAAGAAAAAAATGAATCAACAATGAGCCAACGAGCTCAGAGGAAAATGCTGATATATCAACCTTAGGGAGAGTGGCATATGTAGGGGGATCGCGCCCCCTGTCGCTTGTGGTATAGACAGCAAGTGAAAACATCTATATTATAATTACTTATTTAAAAGGCTAGAGGCGCAGTAACGTAACACTACGTCAGATAACGTCAGGGATTCAAAACCTACCGGTGTGTAAAACTGTAACAACATAGATCATCAAAGTCTTCAGCTCACAAAGTGAACATAATTCCATATTTTAGCTTAATTGCAGGTAAATAATGAATATTATGGATGTTTCCACTGTCATGTGTCACTTACTGGAGCAAATTGGTGTAACTTAACAGCAAAATAGTGTAACTTAACAGTGATGTTAAGTTGACAATTTTTGAGCCTGTTTTAGAGAATGTAGTCAGGAAAATTATTATGTGTGCTCCTAGAAAGAGTTGCGATCTTGATCCGCTACCTATTGCTTTGCTGAAGGAATGCAGTGATGTTATTGCCCTTCCCTTAACACACATAAATAATCAGTCCTTAACGTCAGGGACATTTCCTGAATATCTAAAATCTGATCAAATTCAACCTCTCCTAAAAAAGAAGTCTCGACTCAGATGTCCTAAGTAATTATTGTCCAGTATCTCACCTACCATTCTTGTCTAAGATTACTGAAGGTATTGTTATTACTAGAATATTAACATTCATAGAAAGTAAGAGAATATTTGATGAGAATAGAATCCACATATCGTGTCCACCACGGTGTCGAGACTACACTTTTAAAGGTATAAAAGGACATACTAACAGCCATGGATCAAGGTAAACTTGTCGCCCTTGTTCTCTTGGACTTGTCTGTGGCCTTTGATACGGTGGACCACTGCATTTTAATAGGCTCCAAGAAGTTGGGTTTGACGGAACCATACAAGTGGTTTATATCTTACATTTCAGATAGAATACAGTGCATAAAAATCAATGAAAATTATTCTGCACCTTGTCAACTCTTGTTTGGAGTGCCACAAGGAAGCGTGCTTGGTCCTCTCCTCTTTTCCATTTACTGTCGTCCCTTGGGTAGTATAGTTCAAAGACACAATCTGCAATTTCACGCCTATGCCGATGATACTCAACTTTACATTTCTTTTAAGCCCAATCAATCAGACGCAGACATTGTAATTCATCAATTAGAATTATGTATTGAAGAAATTTGCGAATGGATGGTCTCAAACTACCTAAAATTGAACGATCAAAAACAGAGTTCATTGTCTTTGGGTCCAAGGCACAGCGTAAGAAAGTAGACATTCCGTATGTCAAAATTGGTAGTTCTCAAAAAGTATGCAACCTCGGCACAGTTCTCAATGCCGAGATGAATCGCAAAGACCACATTTCTGGAATCTCAAATACTTCATTTTTCTATCTTCATAACATTGGGCGAATTAGGAAATACCTGACTGAAGGAGCTACAGAAAACTTAATTCATGCATTTGTAACTTCACGTATCGATATGTGGAATTCACTTTTGTACAGACCTTTCAAATCAATCGACTCTCCCGCTTACAAAACATTGCAGCAAGAATTATCAAATGTGTTAAACCTAGAGATCATATTACCCCCTTTTTAAAGCAATCACATTGGCTGCCCAAACTTGATAGAATCGTTTTCAAGATCCCTACCCTACATCTCAAATCTACTTATTCCGCTCAAACCAAGGCGTGAGTGTCTACGATCAAACACCAAAAATTTGCTCTATAAATCACGCACACATCAACTGGGGAAAACGTTCTTTTGCATCCGCTGCACCACATTTATGGAATCTGTTACCAGATAACATTAAACAAAGTACTTCCCTCAGCATATATAAGAATCAGCTTAAGACGTTTTTGTTCACTTCATCCTTACGATAATTACACACTAAATTACACACTAAGTTTTTTTTCTTTTCAATATTCTACTTTTAGGCATAGATTAAGTTTAGGCCACTCTTGTAAGGGCAGCGGTGTGGGACCCCCTTTAAGGGGCAGCCTATATATGGAAACGTGAGACGTTCCTTCCCTCCGTGAGTCTTAGGAGTTGCTAATTAGGAATATCTGCCTTGGGCAAGCAAAGGCACTCCTGAAGCCTCCCCCACCAGGGATACAGTTATTATTATTAATTTTTTTTCCTAGTTAAGATTACAAACTGTTAACAACTCTCCCGACTTCTGTTTTGCGCCATGAGCATCTTTGATGGATACTGGCGCATTATAAATGTTCACTATTTTTATTATTATTATTTCCGCATTCCGTTCGTGTGGTATTATATGGAATGTCAAAAGAGCAACATTCTACATTCAACTTCTGCGGTTTACTGTCACGTGTCGTTTACTTGAGCAAAATGATTTATTTCCGCATTCCATGAGTGGTCGAAAATAGCAACATTCATCAAATACGAGATATTCCCTTACACCAATTAACACTACTGCTG